TCTTGCAGCTAGTAATGATACCCTGGTTCCACAGAGAATGCTCCTTATGCAGAGGAGATATGTGCGTGTGTTGGGGTACAAATGAAGGTAGTATCTGCACCCTATTTGCACAAGCTTTGTGAGACACTGTTATCTGGGCACACACAGACACGTGTAACGAGGAAGAGCAAGCAGGGCACTAGGTCCAGCGGTCGGAGAAGGGAACCCAGGGTTGACCTTCATCTTTCAATTTTCTATAGACCTGACACTTTTCAGAATACGAAGTTGGGGGAAAAGAAAAACACAACAAAACTGCACCAACAACAAAGCCCCACAGGTTTTGAAGTTGTCGGACCTCAGCTGCTGACTGGCCACTGATGAGAACTTGGACAGGTCACTTAATCTCGGTGCCTCGGGCTTCCTCACCTCTGATTAAGATAGTTAGAAGAGTCCTTCACTCAGGTCTGTGGGAACACAACCACATAATGTGTAGATCCAACTCTGGGTCTCTATCTCCCAGAGCAAAAGACTCAACGAGGAAATGAAAGTACAGGACAAATAGTCTACATGAGCCATGGCCTCACGAACCCCAAGACCAGAAGAACCGGATGGTAGCACTGCTGCCTGTTCTGATCAGGGCCACGAGAGACGGATCTGGATAGAACTGAAAGAAAAGGTCGACGATCTCAAATTCCTTTAACAAAAAACAATGGGAAAGAAAAGCCGTCTGGCTGGACTGGTTGAGATTGGGGACTCTCTAAGACTGCTACCCGAGACGCTCTTCAAACCTGGAGGTCACCTTGTAGCGAAACACCAAATGGGATAAAAAAATCAGTCCTGGAGGACCTAATGTCGGGGGTTTAAATGGAGAGAAAATGTTTTGAGAAACTATGTACAAATGCGCTTTACACAATTGACGTGTGTATGGATTGGGATAACAGTTGTATGAGCCCCTAATAAAATGTTAAAAAAGAAAAAGAAAAAGAAAATCAGTCCCGCTGCTGCCACCACCCTTCAGCACTGTGCTCCCTTTTCACCCCCACCCACAAGTCACCTCTGAGACCAAGAGAGCAATGACTGTCAAACAAAGCATATAAGGTGCGGGGAAACAAGATTCATGAAGATGGAACGATTAGAACAGGAATCGTGGCAATGCCCAGACATCACAAAGAGTGTAATTACCATCAGTGAATTTGTGTAGAAATTACTGAATAGGGGCCTACAACTGCTGTGGGAACCTTCACCGAAACACCCAACAAAGTAAGTTTACAATGTTATTTAGCACAACAGCTTGGTGTATGGGAAGTATTCGAGAATGTTTGCTATCATCAACCTGGTCCTGTGACTACCATGTAATACCCATTCAAATGTTTATAGCTCAAATGACACACATTAGGCTAGAGAAGAACTCCACTTATTTCTTAGAGAAAACACACACACACACACACACACACACAAACAAACACTGCCAGCAAGTTGATTCCTACTCACAGCAACCCTATAGGACAGAGTAGAACTGCCCCTGTGGGTTTCTGAGGCTGTCAATTTTGATGGGAGCAGAAAGCCTCATCTTTCTCCTGCAAAGCAGTAGGTGGTTTTTGAACTGCTGACCTTGTGGTTAGCAATGACCAGGATGTAACGTGTAGCCCCCACACATAACCCACCATGCCACCGGAGCTCCTTATAGCAAAAGGGAAGTAAAAGCCAAGGAGACGCTCCTTAAAGAAATTGATCCAAGCCAAAAAGGGAACCCTCGAATCTCCAGAGAGTCTCAATGAAGCCTCTCAAGAACGTGCTGCTTTACTTTTCGCTCGACTTAAAAGAACGGAAACAGAAGTGCATTCAGAAAGCAGCTCAGAGTAAGGGTATAAAAGGCAAACTTTCCAGAAAAACTCCCACACACATACAGTGACAGATAATGTAATAGCCACTGCCCTAAACCAAAAGCAACCTAACTTACTGCCATTGAGTCGACTTCAGCTCCTAGCCCACCTTATGGGTAGAGAACTGCCCCACCTCTACCCCATCCTCCATCCCCCAGGCTCCCAAGGCCGCCGTCTTCCCAGACGCAGACTGCTCTATCTTTCTCCCTAGACATGGTTGGTGTTTTCAAACTGCCAACCTTTTAACTAGCAGCCAAGCAATTCACTACTGTGCGGTTAATGTAACCACTGTGGAAAATGTAAAAAGCAGGGGCAAGCCACCCGATGCCCACCACCAGGAGCCCGGGCAGAGTGAAGTCCGTTCACGCTGTGTGTGCACCTTCGAGCCATCAAAAAGAGGAAGACAGAACTCATAAACTTAGCACAGCCACTAGCAGGCTGAGCGCGACATGAGAACACCACAAGGCATTCAGAGCGTTTGTGAGCATGCAAACGTGTGAACAGGCATCAGCGGGGCTCAGGAAGGACGTATGCCAAGCGCTCCGCGGTGGTTTCCTCTGGTGACGGCGGGAGGGGAATGGGATCGGGCATGGGAACAAAGGGGACCACAACTTCCTCCTGCAGTAATGGTTGCCGTCTTCAAACAAAGAAAAGGGAGACGAAGAAAACATTCAAAACATATTTCCCCCCCCAAGAAACAAACGGATGCTGTTTGTTTGGGGATGAAAAAGGCGAGCAGTTGAACACCCTGACGACCCTAACTGATATCACAGGTGCCCACTATCGAAACTGCCCAATGCTTTGATAAGTATACATTTACCTCCACACAAACCAACCAAGAACCACGCACGGGGCACCGGTACCGGAGGAGCAGACCCAGGATCTAACACTGGCAGGCTCAAAAACATGGATGGAAGAGATTAGGGGCCCAGAAGATGGACCCCAACAGGATGGGAGAAAAATATGGAACCTCAAACTCCCAGGAGGGAAAACAACCCAAAACACACAGTTACTAGACTAATTGAGGCTGAAGGACTCCCCGAGACTCCTGCCCTGAAATCGTCTTCCAGCCTTGACCTGACACTAAGCCTCAGGACCCCTTGTAGCTAACTCGCAGAGGGGTCAGTCAGGACTGTGGCTCCCTGTAAGGATCACCTACAGGTGACCTGACAGTCAACAATGGCTTTCCAACAAAGGTGGGAAAGGATGTGAGGGCAGGGAACCGGAACCGCCACACGATGGGAAATAAGGAGAAGGGCAGGGCCCACATCACTGAACCACCTGACGGGGAGGGGAAACTGCTGACCGGCAGCCCACACTGCTGGCTGCTCCTTCACCCCAGAAGGGGGAAAAGGTGATTTTCTTGTTTGTTTTAATAAACCATTTTATTGGGGGCTCTGACGGCTCTTCTAACAACCCATGCATCCATTGTATCAAGGGCCTTTGTACATATGTTGCCTTTTCAAAACATTTTCTTTCTACTTGAGCCCTTGGTATCAGCTCCTCTTTTGTATCCTGCGATCTTTTTAAAGCACGCCTCATTGGAAATGGATGACAGCAGACAAGTTAGCTTGAAATCTCACATCTTGCCATCTGTTTTCCCTCCCGACCCATTTCAACTTGTGCTAGTGTGTTATTTTCTGCTTTCGTCTATCTGTGTTGTGTTTTGTGGTCACTGACGAGTGTGTTTGTTTGGTTTGGCTTTCTGTGTATGAAGTCCTGGATGAGTTAATCCAGAGACAGTCACCAGAAGAAAGGATAACTAGATGAAACCATAAGGGTTTACAACAGGGGCGGTGGGGTGGCAACAGAGACCCAAGAACAATGGATACAAGAATGAAGCAAATGGTCAGAAATGGATTGTAATGATGACTGTATACTTTTCTTTAAAAATCATTTTATCAGAGGCTCTTACAGATATTACAACAATCCATAAATCAAGTATATCAAGCAAACTTGTACATGTGCTGCCATCGTCATTTTCAAAACATTATCTTTCTACTTGAGCCCTTAGTATCAGCTCTTTTCTCCCTCCCTCCCCTATCCCACCCTCATAAACTCTTGATAAATTATTATTTTTCATATCTTCCATCATCTGCTGTATCCCTTCACCCACATTTCTGTTGTTTGCCCCACCCCCGGGGGGGAGGGAACAGTTACACATCCACAATTGCTTTCAATTCCCCCTTTCTCCCCCTTCTCCCCTCAAGGTGTCAATATTCCCATTATTGCTTCTGAGGGGTGTATCGGTCCTGGCTTCGGCGTGTCTAAAGCTCTCATCTGTACCAATATACATACTCCAGTCTAGCAGGATTTGAGAGGTAGAACTGGGTCATGATAGTGGTGGTGGTGGAGGGGGGAAGCATTAAAGAACTAGAGAAAAGATGTATGTTTCATCGGTGCTACACTACACCCTGACTGGCTCATTTCCTCCTTGTGACCCTTCTGTAAGGGGATGTCCAATTGTCTACAGATAAGCTTTGGGTCTCCCCTCCGACCCTTCTCCTTCACAATGATATAATTGCTTGTTTTTGATCTTCTGATACCTGATCCCATGGACACCTAGTGATCACACAGGCTGGTGTGCTTCTTCCATGTGGGCCTTTGTTGTTTCCCTGCTAGATGGCCGTTTGTTTAACTTCAAGCCTGTAAGACCCAAGATGCTGCATTTTTAATTGCCAGGCACCGTCAGCTTTCTTTACCACATTTGCTTATGCACCTGCTTTGTCTTCAGTGATCCTGACAGGAAGGTGTCACGACTGTGGCACCTCTTTGTAAGATATTTCAACCATTGGATTGTATCACACAGAGTACATGTCAAAATGGCTTAAAATAAAAAAAGAATGCCTAAGACCTGTTCCACCTCATCCTCAGTGGGGTCTCGTGGGGAGAAAAATGACCCACACACACACACACACCACCATCATATGCCCCTTCTCCTAAGCTTCCTCCCAGGCCACTCTCCTGACAGTGGGCTGAATCAAGTCCTATCTGTGGCCGGTGCTTGGGGAATGGCCTCTTAGCAGCATAGCAGAAGGGCCTTCAAACGTCCCCTGAGGACAGGCTTGTACCTGGGCGACTGCACCATTTTCCACCTGGCAGACACTCACAAGGTTCTCTCTCCAACTTCCAACTTACCGAACGGAAAGTGTGAAGTCTCCAGGGTTACTCTTACTGGGCCTCGCCAAAAAACTGCCATCCACGCCTCTTGTCAGCAGTAGGTTTTCTGCCTCCACACCGGTGATATTTGGGTGAAACCACCTAGAAAGACAGAAAGACAGAGATGAATGAAAGCCAAAGGCCTCTGTCACCACCCTCTCCCAGGCCATCACTGCCAACATGCCTGGAAGCAGCTGAGAAAATGCAAATCAAGGTCTTCCCTGGCCTGCCCCACTCTACCCCTTGGTTGCCACCCTCTGCCACCTTCTCCAGAGAAGAGGCCTGCGGCTCAGCATGCCAGCACAGGGCTGGGGGCATGGCGGGCAGGGGCACGGGCTGGGCTGTTAGACCAGTGCACTTAGTGGGGCCAGGCCCAAAGAGGCAGTTCTTGGAGTCAGGAGGCTGAAGAGATGGAGTGGGGCTGAACAAATAAGAAAAGAATTCAACCATGTATAGATAAAAGCAAATCTTACGGAAGAAAACACAGAGAGGAAGAGGCCCAGCACAAACCCTGCGAAGTCAGGTAGGCCTTTGGAGATAATAGGATGAACTACCGTTTTTTCAGACATAAAGAGTTAAATATGTGTACAGATACTCAAAACTCACTGCCATCGATTTCATGCCAACTCACAGCGATGCTCTAGGGCAGGGGAGACCTGCCCCTGTGAATTTGTGAGACTGTAACTCTTTACGGGAGTAGAGAGCCTCGTCTTTCTCCCAAGGAATGGCTTGGTGGTTTCAAACTGCTGACCTGCAGTTAGCACAGCCCAACGCATAACCACCAGGCCACCAGAGCTCCTCTATGTACACAAATGTTTATGTGTATATGTTCACATACGAATGGACACAGAACAACCAGAATAGAACTCATGAGAATGGTCACGCCTTTTAAAGAAGGAACCCAATATGTCATCGAACGACTCGTATAGAAATTATCCATGAAAATGTGTGGGTGCGCATAAACATGTGTACACACTGATGCGTGCACACGCACTCTCTCACACGCACACATTCACACTTACTAGCTGTCTTCTAAAAGGATGTGGCACAATGCTGCCCAGTCACCAGCACACCTAACAGCCTTTACCTAAGTTTCTAAAGGCCATTCTTCATTGACAGAACCTGAGCTCCCTGGGGAATGACTGCTCCCAGGCCTGGGATGATAAAAGAAGATGGGCTTGGAACATCTTCCTGAGCCAGAGCAAGAGCCGGTTCCGTAATCCCGAGAATGTGTCAGAAGGGCACAGAAACTGGCTTTCAGGGCTGCCAGTGGCCCAAAGTGGAGTCATTTGAACCTCAAAATAAACCCTGAGTAGCAGGTTGTAGTATGCAACCTTTTGAGGAAAACAGATGCCTAAATCCATGCAGATATTGAATTTTAAGTTAATTTTAAAATACACAGGGAAAGGAGGAAAGCGCCTTGTAGTAGAATAACAAACAATGAAATGTAAAAAAAAGAGATGTAATTTGAACATCACGCTTGGCAACCATCATATATATAAATAAAACCCACTCACTGCACAATGCCAACTCCTAGCGACTCCACAGGACAGTGTAGAACTTTCTTCCACAGAGCGGCTGGTGGTTCTGAACTGCAGACCTTGCTGATTGCAGTGGAACACATAACCACTACACAACCAGGGCTCCTTATCATAGCGATAGTTAGGCAAAACTCATCAATGGGTTCTAAAACTAGGGACAGGATGTGTACATTGGTGGAAAGCATCTCCCCCACAGAATGCCTATTAATTCCACATTAATAAGTAAAGAAACAATGAACTCTACACTAGAGACATTTGACAGATAACATTTAGACCATGTGATAAAAGTTAAAACCACCACCAATGGGTTAAAATTGACATCTTGTGCCTCTTAACCTAATGTGCTGAGAAAGGTGTCCTTTCTGAGATAACAAAAACTCACTGCTATTAAGTCAATTCCAACTCATAGCGACCCTATAAGACAGAGTAGAACTGCCAAGAATTTCCAATACTGTAAAACTTGACAGGGGCTGATAGCCTCATCTTTCACCCGAGGAGAGGCAAGTGGGTTTGAACTGCTGATTTTGTGGTTAGCAGCCCATCTTGCAGCCCACTGTGCATCAATATGATTCTTAAATCTAACACTGAGACGCATCGGATACACTCAGCCTCTCTACAAAGTAACTGCCCTGTACTCTTTAAAAATTCGAACCCAAGACAGGAAGGCGGTAGGGAGCTGTGAGGATGAGAGGCCACTAGTGAGATAGAGTCAATCACACAAGGCGTGAGCCTGGGTTATATTCTAGGGCAGGAGGACCGTGCCAGGGAAGGAAGACAGTCTGTTGTTGTTTTGTCCTTGGCCAAAAAGGACGTTACTGAAGCCATTTAAAAGGTGTTGATTTGGATGCATGCACGATGGTTATGCCGCTTCTTGAGGGGTGACGCGCTGAAGCATTTACACACACGTGAGCAGCTCCCGTGGCACAAATGGCCCAGCTGCTAATGGAGAGAGTTGGCAGCGCAAACCCACCCGCCGAGCTATGGGAAGACGACCTGGTGATGGGCTTCCACAAAGAGGGTCCAGAACCCCCAGGGGGCAGCTCTACTCTGTCCCATGGGGGGTCTCTGACTTCAAAGACCACTCAACAGCACCCAGTAACAACCTCCCTGCAGGCAGAGGGCGGGGAGGAAGAGACTGGGGAGGGGCCCGGGAGACAGAGACAAGGAAGATGTGGTTAAACTGACACCAATGAACAAATCGAGATTAAAAAAAGAATCAGAAATTCCTTGTACTACTCTTGTAGCTGTCCTACAATGTTGAAATCGCTACAAAGAGAAGGCTCACAAAGACACACAAGTGACACAATCCACTGTGTGTGTGTTGGGGGTGGGGGTGTCACTGGCTTCAGAGGCATCCTCTCTGGTTCCCGGCAGGAGGGTTTCCTTGATGGCATCTAAAAGCCACCAAGATTCATGGCCAGGGAAATTACTAAAGCCAAATTATGCTGGACCTTTAAATGGCAGCAGGAATAGAAGTCACTCCTGAACCGTGCGGACACAGACAGCTCAATGAACTTTCAGAGCCTGCTCAACAAATATGGGTCCAATTAAAGCATTTAACAAGGAGGTGGAGAGAGAGCTCGGTCCTCAATCACGCATTATGGATGTGGAAAGCAATAAGATGAGGAAATGCGCAGCTAATGGCCCCCATGAATAACCCACCTCCTTTGTCAAGAGACCAGAACTAGCTACCCAACTACAATCACTGCAATTACTGAACATTTAGATCAACGAGTCTATAAAAAAACTCCTGATCAAAAGGCGGAGACACACACACACACACACACACACCACCCACCACCACTCCTGTAATTGGGCTGGGCGGAGCGAGGCTTTGTAGTAAGCTTTTCCCAGCTAGGCGAGCATTGAGCAACTTGCTCTGAGTTCGTGCACCCAGTGGCATCACCTGGGAAGGTTCTCGTCATAGTGAATTTTTTTGTAAAAGCAGTTTCGCTCAAACTTCGTTTTGTTTTGTTTTTAATCATTTGGGGGGGGGGCATACAATTTTTATCACAATCAATACATACATCCATTGTGTCGAGCACATTTGTACATTTGTTGCCATCATCATTCTCAAAACATTTGCCTTCTACTTGAGCCCTTAATATTGGCTCATTTTCCCCCTCCCTCCCCACTCCCTCCCCTCATGAACCCTTCATAATTCATAAATTTTGTCATATGTTACACTGTCTGACACCTCCCCTCGCCCACTTCTCTGCTGTCCATCCCCCAGGGATGAGGCTATACGTAGATTCTTGTAATCGGTTCCCCCTTTCTACTCCACAATCCCTCCACCCTCCAGGCATCACCACTCTCACTACTGGTCCTGAAGGGGTCATCTGTCCTGGATTCCCTCAAACCTCGTTTTTTGTGATGGCTGATTTAAGAGAACAGTGTATAGCTGTGGAATTTTGCTTCCTGCTCAGGGAAAAATGCTGTAGAAACTGTTGTGATTTTGAGCACAGCTTACAAGGGCGGTGCTATGGGAAAAACAAGTGTCTGAGTGGTTTTCTCCTCTCAAGAAAGTTGAAATGTCGATTGATGGCAAACCTAGTTGTGGACATCCATCAACTTCCCAAATGGACAAAAATGTCAACTTGACTCACAATGCATTTGGAGTTTGTTCCACCAGGTCAGACTGTTAACTGAGCTTTCTAGTTAGAGGTTCTGAAAAGATTGGGTAGTAATGGGCAAAAATGAAATAAATGTATTTTTTAATAAAAATAAATAAATAAAATAAGAATTGTGACAATGACCAAAAAAAAAGGATTGGGTAACAGTGTGCAGCAAAAAGGCCTGATTTGTAAAAAATGAGGACCTAATGCCGGGGGCTTAAGTGGAGAGGAAATGTTTTGAGAATGATGAGGTCAATGAATGTACAAATGTGCTTTACACAACTGATGTATGTATGGATTGTGATAAGAGTTGTATCACAACTCATAAAACGATTTTAAAAAAAAAAAGAAAGACTTGGGGAAAAAAACAACAACAAAAAGGCCTGATTTGTGGCAGATGGGGACTGGTTCTGCCACCACGACAACACACCTGCTCACGCAGCAATCTCAGTGCACCAGTTTTGGGCACAAAACAAGCATGCCTCTCTTAGACCACGCACCTTACTCACCAGACCTTGCCCCGTGTGACTTTTTTGTTTCCGAAAATGAAGAGGGACGTGAAAGGGCAGCAATCTGATGACGCAGAAGAGTTGAAGAAAAAAAATGAGGGAGGTGCTGTCAGCCATCCAAACAGATGAGTTTGAAAAAAGTGATTCCAAGAATGCAATCGCACATTTGACAAATGCATTAAGTGTGATGGAGAGGACTTTAAAGGTGATACGGATGTTTTGTAAAAAAAAAAAACAACTTGAATACATAGCTTTGAAAACAAAATCCGGATTATTTTGGTACCCCACCCCCGCCTTGGTATATATCCATAATCAACACATAATAAATAAATAAATAAACTGTAATAAATATCATAGGCTTCATGGTAGCACGAAGCTACATAGTAGACTGAGGAGGGGCTCCTTCTCGGATCGCCACCTGGGCAGTACTACGGACT